CGCGGAAAGAGCGCTCGTGCCAGTCCTACTCCGCATCACACATTAAATGAAGAGCGGAGCGCTCGTTTCACCGCCCAACCTTTATCCGCCCTGTCTCCCAGCATTTACGCGCGCTTTTCGGGGCAATTTTACTCTAAGTTTTCCGAGAAAAAAGATTCTAATGGGGAAAAAAGATCGTTGTGCCGTGTTTGAATGTACTAATGATCGCCTTTTTCCCGAGAAGTATATAGTGAAGTTCTCTTTTTACCCGAAAAGCGCGCGTAAATACTGAGCGAGTGCCCCCTGGGCAGCCCATAATACTCCTTAAATCTAATAAATTCAATATGGCCGCCGTATCGGTGAAAAGGTCTATTCACTTGATTAACTTGTTAAGCTACAGCTCATTAGCGTGTTCACCACTTGGCAATCCTGAAATTTCCTTAATGTGTCTCGCAGAGAGCTAAAAACTAACAAAGTTACACAAGGTTTTAAACTTTAGAATAGGCCAAGCAACAAAAATTACGGATGATTTTTTAGATTAAACTTAAGATGTTTGGAAAGATTTAAGAAATTCTGGAGGTTTCTTTTAGAATTTAGCAAGTTCCAAGATTTTTCGAACATTCAGAGGCAAACAAATCTGTTAATTACGTAGAAAAATAGATAAATAACGTCTTCGCTGTTCTTTTTAAGAAACTCCGTGCACTCGCAAATTGATGTATAGTATGAAAGATTGACCAGAACCAAAAAGCCTCATGGCTTCATACACAGCGGTTTTACATTCGATTATGTATCCCGAATAAAAGACGCTAGTCTTTCTGCACTTACGTCATCCGCAATAACCAGTATAAGAGCTTTTTAGCGCCTTAGCATAAACTTTGATGTTTTATGTTTAAATTCTTGTGGTTTTTCGTTCCAATTTAAGTATTTTTTAGAATTCCCAGATAGATTTCAAAGTCACTTTTCGGGATTATTGTAGCCAAGCCTACTTCAGAATTTCGTGCATTTATACTGCGACGCCTTGTCTGACGCGTATGCTGGTAAACTAAAAGATAAACAAAGACGTCATAATTATTTTGCCCTATACAGATAGAGGGTAGGCCCTGCATTGTAGATAGCACTCAAAATGCCAAATAGAATGTAGAAAGTGAATGCAACCTTAAAGTTGGGATTGGGAATTGGTTAACATTACTTTTTGAAAAGAACATTTTATGCCATACGGTAATCTCCCCATGTGGAATTTTGAAGCCAAACTAAGCCGGCTATGAATTTAGTGCTTGTTATTTGTTTTTTGTTTTTTGTTTTTTTTTTGTTTCTTGCTGGATCAGGGCGTATGTTTTTGTCATCGTCTTCGTTGCCGAAGTCATATTTTTCAGCGCGGGAGGACTTTCCCATACCAATGTCACCCATTTTAGTTAATTTATTAAAAAATGGACACCAGACACAATACCCTGCGAGCAGAGGTTACATTTTTCGCGGTGTGAGCTGGCTAGCCTTTTCGCGCGTCAACCCAAACTGCGAAAATGTTGCGTCTGCTCGCTGGGTACAGATACAGCTTCTAATCGTTTAGCAATAATTACAACTGAGCAGCGTAATATTTGAGCAGGGGACTTTTTAAAAACTTTTACAAGTGTACCTTAACAAGTGTGTTCATTGTTTTAGTGTCTAAAAACAATAAATAAACTTGTAAATTGCACTTGCAATAGTTTTATTAAATCGACCCCAGTAGAAGAAGACCATGTACAAGTCATGCCAAAGGAATAACACAAATGCACAAATGCATCTGGATAGGTTGTTGGGCTAACATCACCTTGTGAAGGGAACTTGGGCAAATAAACTCTTATCGCCTATTTACTTAGTATTATTAAACGTAGTTTTAAACTTAAGTAGTAGGTTACTGGATATACCTTCAAGGCTGTATCAAGTGCGAATGATGTTGCGTGTTCCGCTGGTTAAACAGCAGATACCTAAAACCCTATATCAAATTAGAACTTTTTAAACTGGCTTTATGAATAATCCAACAAATTTTAAGAAAATAAAACTTGGACTGTCGATTTTTTTAATGATTTTTTAACTCCGCGAGCGTCCGAAACAGTTTTCGAAAGCTACTGAAGTCAAATCCATTTTTCTTTTCCACTCATTTGATTTGCTCCAGTCTTTCGGAAGTCAAAGCGTTAAAAATAAAACGTGTTGGGGCGTTGCCCTTTTCGATTGCGATCAGAGAATAATTATGAAATAGACCTGAAAAAAGTTTTACAATCATACAAAATTGCCTCTCCCAAAAAATAGTAAGAAACAAAAAATTGCTCGACAGCTTTTCGTTGCTTACACTTTAAAGTAACACTCCCTAAAATTCTACATCAATTGAACAAATTCCCTTTTGGTTGAGTTTTAGGTTTCAAAAGCTGGTTCAGACTCTCGCATAAACAGAATCAAACAATCGATAATGCTAGTTTGTAAGAACTATAAATTTGTTAGGATAGTCTGTTTAATAAGTTTTAATTTGATGTAAGATTTTAGGCCTCCTCCACACAAATCGTTGTTACACAAATCGACCTTCTGTCCACACGAAACCAGTGAATCCGCTCGCTGAAACCGCGCTGTTTTGAAACCGCTCTCCAAAATTGTTTTAAGGCCCCGTCCACACGAATCTGGATAAACAGAAATGCGGTTTATAAGATGTCCGGATTCGTGTGGACGGGACGGCGGTATAGGTATTTCCAGTCTAAACGGAACGCACTTCGTCACTTAAACTTGAGACACCCCTGAAGGTATACGGTAACCTTAAACTAGTATTATACTCAATTTAGTGTATGTTAGTTGAAGGTACACGAGACAACTCGCAACGACGATTTTCAGCACAACGCAGTGTTGTAATGGTGGAGTAATGTTGAAACCATTTCGAAACAATGTTCTAATGCAGTGATGCGCTCAAAATCGTCGTTGCGAATCGTCTCGTGTAGTATTACCTTTAAATTACCGTTAAATAACTTCGTGTTGTTCGTTTCTCTATGATTACAGACACAGATGGACCCCATTCGGTCCTATGAGCCTTATTTCATGGTAATACGGAGCTTAAACAACGACGAGGGCGACGGCAACGAGAAAAGCAAAAAGCAATAGCTTTAGATTAGCTAAACAACAACTTTGCACGTGCATCACGTGTTTTTTGCACATTTCTTAGCCACCGTTGCACGACCAACACGTGAAACTTTCTAATTTTACGGTTTATAGAGGTTGTGAACACAAGACAAACAATTTTCTTTTTCTTTCACTAAACTGAGATATAGTCTTTAAAATTCATCTCCAGACGAATTCGTCATCTTGTGAAAAATTGAAAGAGCAATGAAGTTTGAAACAGCGCGGAGTGATTCACTTGTAAGTGAAGTTTTAGCCGCCGTAGCCGAATCGTAGTTGCTGAAGCTCCTTGGTAAGTCCTAGTCGTTACCTTAAGATCACGAGGACCACTGTATAACGAAAACGAGATTTTCTCAACACTAAGTGACCAGCGTCATTTTGGCGGTAAAACGTGGTACTACCGGTTTTTGCGAAAATGTCCTAGTGACGGAAAGACGTTATTAATGTTAAAAGTTTTATTTTTTGCGATAAAAGTCAAATCTCGTTTTCGTAGTCGTCTTCCTTCGTCCTCGAATCTAAAGGTCTCTAATGACTTAACGCATTCTGGGGCGTTTATCGGCGGTCGGAATGAAACGTTACCCAAGGAAAGGCATTTTCAAATTAAAAGTCGGGGTTTCTGCCAGTCCGATTCTGCTTACCGTCATGTGAAAACAACAATTCGATTAGAGAAATAAACCTGGCTTTGAAAAAAGATTTTAATAACGGTAATAATTAGAGTCGTTGCCTTGTGTTTTTTTTTGCCCAAACATTCCTCGTTTCGATGAACAAAAGATAAACGGCCCTGGTTATAATTATTGTTGGTGTTAACGTTATTTTACACATTTCATGCAGTTGGCAATCAGCAGGGTGATCCTTGGAAGTACAGATTTTTTTCCCAATTTTTCATGATTTTAAACTAATAGTTTCGAGGTTATATAATTATGTAATATCAAGGCAATCGAACGTTTTCGTCATCAGCTAGTTTAGAGATAGAGAGGTTTATTGAGTGCAAGGTTTTAAACCTTGCAGTACTAGACTGAATTATGTTAAAAGAAAGAAAAAAAGGTAAATAGATAATGTAATGAATCGAAGTACTTTACTAAATAAGAGGTAAGAAGATAAAACATGTAGAACTATGATTAGAATTGTAATATTAAGGCTATCGATCGTTTTCGTCAATCAAGGTTTTAAACCTTGCAGTACTAGACTGAATTATGTTAAAAGAAAGAAAAAAAGGTAAAATAGATAATGTAATGAATCGAAGTACTTTACTAAATAACAGGTAAGAAGACAAAACATGTAAAACTATGATTAGAATTCGCATAGCTATTGACCTATATCTTTTAGCGCATAAATCTATGATTAAAATTCGCCGATCGGCTATACAATAACTTTTATGTAACAATTCTTTATTAACTCGTTTTACGTATAGGCATTCGAAAGATAGAAGATATTCAGCGCACTTATTTGGCGGGGGTAGAAGATGACGTAGCTTGTGATCTTGTTTGCTAATTATGTCAGCGAGCAGTTTAGCCGTTATAGCACTAAGGCGATTTGCGCGGCTACCAAGGTTTGCGTCTGACGATGCATCCCTATAGGACACATAACGGTAAATAATCCTTAACGCGCGCTTCTGCAGACATTCGAGCTCATCCGAGACACATACCACAGGAAGACCATTGTGAAAGACTGCGCAAACGTTTTCCGTTATAGGGTGAATACAGGTGGTGTAAAATATCACGAGGTCTATGGACTCGACGTTTACCCTTTTTAACTACCTTAGAAAGTATCGACCTCGCTGACAGCTCTTTAGATATCTCGGTAACATTATAGTTCGACCTCAATTCATTAGAAATTTTAAGGCCAAGCAGCTTGACAGTAGACACAACGTTGCAACAGTTGCTTTCTCATTGATAATCACTGGCGGAAAAGGTGCGATGGGTGCTAGCAAACGATATCCGCGTTTCACTTTGCATTTTCTCTCTTTGAGTCGTCGACAGGTTCGGCGAGCGTAGTATCGTCTACATATTTCCAGAGATCCATGTTGTTGACACTTACATCATCTATTTTGAGAATGAATAACCACGGACCCAGTTTAGTTCCCCCGTGGAACTCTGGCCGGCCTTTATCATTCCGTTCTGACCAATAATGTCGCTAGAAATTGACCCTCTGTTTACGGTTTTAAGAAAGTCGACAATCATGTGGGATACATATGTGTGATGACCAGAGACGTCAGTTTCGTAGCAGGGATTACTTGATTAATCAAATCAAAAGCTCTGTTATCGTCAAATAACACAACTCTAACCGTTGATCCTTTTCTATCGGTATGTTTTGCCCACGAAAGAAGCATACTAATCAGCGCGTGTGTAGTTTATGACTTGGGGATAGTCCCATACTGATTTTCAGCGATCTTCTCCACCACGGCTGGTTTGACGTGTTCGTCCACAATGAACTCTTCAGCTATCTTCGATAGAACCGGCGTCGAGGAAATAGGGCGGAGATGTTTGTTAACATCTTTCACTGGCTTTTCCTTGGGAACTGGGACGACTTCAGCCGACTTCCGATATGGCGGGGTACAGGACTCCTTGAAGGAGCAACTGCGGTTATATTTGACAGGTTCGGTTAAAAAATCTGAGTTTTCCGTTAATAGCCATGCCTGAATTCCGTGAGGACTGGAGACCTTCGTCCAATTAAGAGATGGTAGTTTCAGCCTGCGTTGGACGAGACCACAAACTGCGCGGGTGAGGGCATTGAGGTCCCTCACGTCCTTGCTGGAAATCTTTAGGCAGGGAAGGAAAAAATTCTCATTGATTGCAAAAAAAAAGCATCGTTGATTTTATTGGCTAAATCAGACGCGCTGGATGCCTTGTCGAAATGGCGTAATGATTCATTGAGCTGGCCCGGTCAGGCACAGTGGATGTCAAGCCACTGAGTTTTTTGAGTTCTCTCCACCGCGCCGATGGCTTACATTCTTTTCGATGGTCAGTTTTGGATTCCTAAGACTGACTTACCCCGGCAGATCGTACGCACCTGGTAACGGTTGACACGATTTCGCAAATAGCGAAACATTGGTTGTTTCCCTTGTGCAAGCGCCATATTGACGGAGTCTAATGCCTTTTAAATTAGGAGTGATCCATGGTGGCTCATTGGACTGTTTTTGTTCGTAAGGGGACAGCAGAGACCAGTCGGGTCTGCACCATCGTTTCCTGTAGAGCCGCTTCCCCTGAGCATGGGTTTCTAGTGTTGATAGGGGTAGGAACATCATCTTCTTCTTTGGAGATATGTGCACATATCGAGACCCTTAGATTATCTTAAGTCTAAGCAACACTGCCACGGAATGGAGGTTGGCTTTAGATTCCTTTTGATTTGATGCTCCTTTCAAAGTAAAATAATTCAAACTGAGTGAGTATTTACCAAAGAAGTAAGAACTTTTGAAGGAAGGAAAGACGCGTTGCATGACGAGACAAAAACGGCTGCGAGGGGGCCTATATTCCAGCCTTCTTTGCAACGATTCATTGGCAACAATTTCAGTTTCAAAACACTTCAGTATTCTTCATGTATCGTTTGAAAGGTTCGTTTAGGTGGCGTTCTGAATCCCCCGGACCCTCTCTCCGGGATCCGCCTCCGTGTTAACAATACAAGGTTTTGGGGTTTTGTGTGCCGTAGTTGGACTTGATTTTTGGAATCGCGTTTAGCGTACAATCATCCCTAACTCGAGCACCTTCACTTGCTCCTTGCTGCTTTACAACCATTGTCTTTAATTCCTCACTCCGGACACTTGGTGGTCTCAAAGGTGACTGTCTTTTTACGTATCGCCACGAGCAAAAAGAAGCAACATCAACTCTTTCTAACAGTCTGCGACATGCGGTGTAACTAGGAGCCCGGTTAGTAGTGGACTATGTTGAAAATTAACCCCGTTGGTGGGTTCCCCTTGAGTTCCGTGTGGGTTCCCTCGCAAAAAGTGGGTTCCCTTTATTGATATGCATAACGATCGAGTCAATGACGTCATCTATTGTGATAACCTAGGGAAAAATGGGTTCCTCCATATTAATGAAGTGCCTAGTAACTGTCTTCCCGCATACTAATTTGGATTTCCTGCATACTAATTATGTGCCTTCCTCCATGTATAATGAAGTGGATAGGTTTACCAATGAGGGTCACTCTACTACAATAGAAACAATAGACTTGCCTAGACTTGCCCGTGAAGTAACTTGAGCTCCGTTTTCGGACCGTCTTTTAAAGGAAAGATAGGAGCGATCACCTAGCAACGCGAGAAACGGCTTCCTATATCTTATTTAGCGCTAAAACTCAGATATATATAAACACAAAGGGAGTTGAAAAGTCTTTATTTCAATTTAGTTTACGTCTTCTTATTTAGCGCTAAAACTCAGATATATATAAACAAAACATACACAAATTGGAGCTGAAAACTCTCTAAGTTTTTCTGACGTTTTCTCCCATCAATCTCGCGGAAATGAAAGTCTTGTCATTTTCACGCACGGTTAATCAGTTAATTATGCGAGTTCACAAGCCCAAAGTTGAATAAAAAATTAGCTCTACAGGAAAAACCTCAAGGAAGCAACCTTGACGTATTATTATACAACAAATAACTTAACAAGGATCAATTAAAACACGCGACTCATAATTGCTAGCAATAAAATCAGACACGAGATACCGTTTTAAGAAACTTTATTAAAAAACAAGGACAAAAAAAGTCAAATACACAGGAATGGAAATTAATTAATCTTCATCTTCGTTCTCCTCTGTAGAAGGGGAATAGAAATTGGTTTCCAACGTCTTCGCGTTTTTGTGTTTAACTGCTCCACAATCGTGACACCGAAGAAAGCCCTCTTTCATGTAATGTCTCCCCTCGGGAATCTGGTGATCGCATATAGGACAAATCTTGTAGTAATCGTGACAAAGGCATTTAGGACATTTCATGATCAATATCCCGTACACATTAGAGTTTTCGCAGTGTTCACAGGGACTTTTGGAGTGAAAGGTGGTGGACGTTTCAGGGTTACTACTTTCTATCTCCTGACTGTCGTTTTCAGTGTCGTTGTCGCTCTCTTGGGTGTCTTCCGCTTCAACGCCATTCTCAGAATGGTGGTGGCGGTGGTGGTGGTGGAGGGAAAACAATAGAAATGTGGTGGTGGTGGTGGCGGTGGTGGAGGGAAAAACAATAGAAATGTGGTGGCGGTGGTGGTGGCAGTAGTGGCGGTGGTGGTGGTGGTGGTGGTGGAAAGAAAACAATAGAAATGTGGTGGTGGTGGTAGTGGTGGTCTTGGGGGAGGAAAACAGTAGAATCTTGTGGTCTGAAAACCTATATACATGCGCAACATTCTACCTCTTTCTCAGTCTACATTTTGCTCCTGAGGAGTTGACATGAGTTGGTTCTGTTCTGTCTGCGAAAAATCCTTTAGTAGAAAAGATAGTATGCAAAGGCACGTGATATCTAAACACCGCAATGCTGGTCTCACCCCATTTCAAACCGTTCCAATATTTTCACAGAAATGTCAGCGGTTTCGCTTCGAGCATCCTTTCACCTCCATGATTGCCGGAATGACCGGGTCCGGAAAAACGGCCTGGGTTCGATCGTTATTGCAACAAGCTTCAGAGACCATTTACCCTCCCCCGGAGAGGATCGTTTGGTGTTATTCACAATGGCAGCCTGCGTATACACAAATGTAAGTCGCCATGCCAAACATTGAATTCGTCAAGGGAATTCCTACGGCTTTGGAGGAGGATTCCTATTTTGATGCGATTAAACGGAATTTGATCGTGTTTGATGATCAGATGATTGACGCCAGTAAAGACAAGCGAATTGTGAACCTCTTTACTCGTGGTTCTCATCATCGCAATCTGAGCGTGATTTATATCGTGCAGAATCTATTTCATCAGGGGAAAGATAGCCGCAGCATAAGCCTAAACAGCCATTATCTGGTGTTATTCAAGGATCCACGAGACAAATTGCAAATCCTGACTCTGGCGAAGCAAATATATCCCGGGCAGACTGATTTCTTTTTAAATCAGTACGAAGAGGCTGTAAAAAGACATTTTGGTTATCTTCTGATTGATCTGAAAACTACTACCCAAGATAATTGTCGGTTGCGAAAAACGTCCTGCCCAGTGAAGAAGGCTTTAACCAAGCAGGGTTTCAAGAAAATATTCCTCAAGAGCTTCTAAAATATCTGAAGCAGCAAACTCTTTCGCCTGTCCCGCTTCTTCCAGCTATGCAAGAAATACAAGGCAACATGGATGACGTGCTTTCTCGAAACTATCTTCGGGACGATGAAAGAGCTAAACGATACCTTCAGTTGCAAAACAGATACCTGGCTTTTAAAGAACAATTAAATACAAGAACACGACCGGAAGAAATAACATCAAGGACACAAGATTCTTCGACAGCAACGACAGCATTCTCGACTCCCCTCAACCCCTTTAATGTAACACCTGAATTAACAGAAGCAGCTATCTCTCAAAAACCTGACAAAGAAAGCCTCACCCCTCCACCACCCTTAAATCCTGCTTTCCTGACGCCTCCCCCCACAATAGAAACCCCATCACAACATGGCCCGAAGAGCAAAAGGCGTCGGATTCAATTTCTAAATTATTTGGATGATCATAAATCTCATGGCAAACAGCTGAAGAAACGTCGGCATAAGAAATTCAAACCTTACAAGTACTCCTTGGGCGAAGAAGAAGGAATTAATTAATTTCCATTCCTTACAAATCGCTGTGTATTTGACTCTTTTTGTTTTTAATAAAGTTGTTTAAAACGGTATCTCTCTTATGTTTTTATTGCTATCAATTATGAGTTGCGTGTTTTAATTGATGCTTGTTAAGTTATTTGTTTTATAATAATACGTCAAGATTCTCTCCCTTTGGTCTTTCCTGTAGAGCTAATTTGTATTCAACTTCGGGCTTGTGAACTCGCATAATTAACCGATTAACCGTGCGTGAAAATGACAAGACTTCAATAGTTTTTCATTTCCTCGAGATAAAACGGAGAAAACAGTTATGTAATAGTCAGACAAACTTGAAATAAATCGTTTTCAGCTCCACTTTGTGTTTATATATATCTGAGTTTTAGCGCTAAATAAGATATAGGAAGCCGTTTCTCGCGTTGCTAGGTGATCGCTCCTATTTTTCCTTTAATAGACGGTCCGAAAACGGAGCTCAAGTTACTTCACGGGCAAGTCTAGGCAAGTCTATTGTTTCTATTGTAGTAGAGTGACCCTCATTAGTAAACCTATCCACTTCATTATACATGGAGGAAGGCACATAATTAGTATGCAGGAAATCCAAATTAGTATGCGGGAAGACAGTTACTAGGCACTTCATTAATATGGAGGAACCCATTTTTCCCTAGGTTATCACAATAGATGACGTCATTGACTCGATCGTTATGCATATCAATAAAGGGAACTCACTTTTTGCGAGGGAACCCACACGGAACTCAAGGGGAACCCACCAACGGGGTTAATTTTCAACATAGTCCACTACTCCGGTTTATTACATTTTGAATCTCGTCCTATGCTAACAGTACAATACAATCAACACTTTCTGACAGAGACATCTCTGCAATATGCTCTACTCGTTCTGTGCTAACAGTGTAATACAGTCAACTCTTTCTATCAGAAACATTATTGCGACATGCTCTGGGTGTCCGGCTTCATTACAGTCAATCTCGTCCTGTACTAACATTATAATACAATAACCTCTTTCTATCAGATACATGAACAGTACTTCAGTGCTACGTCCAACGGATGAAGTAAAGCCAGTGTTAATTTGCATGAAAGGAATACCTCTAGGATAAGAATGTTCTCCCGAAATGCAGTACTAAAAAGCACTGAAGTGACAATTTGCTGGTAATGAGGTCTGCAAAGTAGAGGTGCACTTGATTGCTTTAAGTTTAGGACTAACTGGTAAGCTACACGAATCCACCTCAGTGTTTTCGATTTATTCACTTTTCTAATGTAATCGTAGAATTTCGTTTGAATGGTCGACAAAAATTAAAGCAACGATTTTGAATGTAACATTTCCGAGTTTTGCCTTATTCTCGATCTATAGAGCTATGAGGCGTTTAAACAAAACCCACCGCTTAAAGTGCTACTACGACGAAAATTTTTGTTTTTGTTTCCGAGTTTTTTTAACATAAATCTTTTGTATAGGTTCAAAATTATACAAATAGCGAAAAACTGGAACGATACTTGCGTACGGGGGCTAGAAATTTCCCACTGAAAAGTGCGTAAATACCGTCCGCCATTACAAAGTTCGCAAAACAATAGCCCGCGAGATCTCCGCAAAGCGGTCGTGCGTTTGACCAATCTTTTGTATAGGTTCAAAATTATACAAATAGCGAAAAACTGGAACGATACTTGCGTACGGGGGCTAGAAATTTCCCACTGAAAAGTGTGTAAATACCGTCCGCCATTACAAAGTTCGCAAAACAATAGCCCGCGAGATCTCCGCAAAGCGGTCGTGCGTTTGACCACGTGATTTATGCACTGTGATGTAGAAACATCAACCAAAAGATTCGCATTTGGGAAAAGTTTGTGAGTTTAGAGCCTTTAACAAGACGTTTAACTGAAATGTTTAACGTGATTAGCTCCTGATGGCGATCAATCCTTTTACAAGGTCATACCTTTTTTGACTGGCAAATTGAATTGTTATCATTAGTTGTCCGTCAATTAACACGTTTATGTCAACAGTCATTATTGTAAAGCCTAAGAAATCATTAGGAAAATACATCACACGGTTTACTACAATCAATTTTCCTCATCCGGTTTAATTTCTCGTGAGAGGATAGCAAAACACGACATACAAACTTAATCCCACATAAAGGAATTGATCAATATAGTGTACTTTATTAATTTTTTTATACAATTTTTCAAATCTAGCTGTCTTCGTGGAACCTCTCTTTTCTAAGTTTCTTTATTTTTACACCAACTAACTGAAACTCGCAGCCGAATTAATTTTTGTTTGTAAACATGTATGGGTGCTTTTTCTGTCATGAGTTTTTCCAGTTTTTGCATTTTAAGAATAGTATATGTTATTATTCATTCAAAATATTTCCCCAATTCTTATTTGCTAAAAGCACACGCATAACTCACCATAACCAGTTACTGATGACCAAATTTGGAAGAATTTTGTGTTTAACGAGGAAATGACGTCAAAAATGCAGCCCTCTACAGGTTAAGGCACCGTTAACCGAGAAGACCTGGGGACGAGGTTGAGTTGTTTTGGTTGTCAAAAAAAATGGCGGACATTTCACTCGTTTCAAGAGTAAGAACTACAGCTGGAATTAGTCGAAATAATAACTAAACACATGGCAAAAACAGCAAGAAGACAACTCGGAGGGTGAAATCTGCTATTTGGAGAGTTTGCGCAGTTGGACAAACCAAGACGTACAGTATCGAAGATGAACTTAACATCGATGCAGGTAGTATGTTTCAGCTATGTTTTTAAACTAGGAATTATTTTGAATGAATAATAAAGCAATTAATGAATTCGGCTTTCGTAGGATATGAAGAATTAAGTAGATCTCGGAGGGTGTTATCCACCACGGCCTTCGGCCTCGGTAGATAACACCCTCCTCGATCTGCTTAATTCTTCATATCCTACGAAAGCCGAATTCATTAATTGCTAATTAATACTCTGCAAATGAAATCAGTGAATACAGCATGATGTCCACACGACTACAAAAAAAGCTCCCCATTGGACTTCCGCTGGACAAGGGTAACCCATCCTATGGGAACGAGATTAACAGAAGAAGACCAGATAGCACATGCGTTTGGACGTCTCTCTCTTTTTTTCACTGCACATGCGTTCAGACGTCTCTCTTTTATCCACTTCGCATGTGTTTTCGCTCACGTGTGTTTAGACGTCTCTTTTTTTCCACTGCGCATCCGTACAGACGTCTCATTTATTCCGCTGAGCATGCGTTCAGTGTCTCTCTTTTCTTTTCCGTTGCTTATCCGTTCAGACGTCTCCTTTTTTCCGCTGCGCATGCGCTCAGACGTATCTCTTTTCATTTCCGCTGTGCATCCGTTCAGTCGTCTCCTTGTTATGAAAAGCAGAGAAAAAAGGCCGGGGATGTTCCTTAAGGAGGTGATGCGTGACAGCCTCCCTCAAAGCCTTGCCTATAATTTCAAATTTCAGGCCAAAATATGTAATCTTCTCTATCTTTCAACAGCGACAATTGATTAAAAAAAAAAAAGAACGTACTTGATTTCAGTCCCTAGTAACAGGAAGCACGAAACTATCACCCTCTATCGGACCCAAAAGGTTAAAATCCTCTCAAAAATTCAGGACTAACATGTTTATCATAGTGGGACATCACACTGAGTTCGGTTTTAACGGGTTTAACCGTAAAGCAGGGTCGTCTCTGGAGAGCTTCCCTAGTAGTGAGAAACATGTGTAGTATCTAGGGCTGACCATGCACGCAATTAGGCAATGCATAGTTGTGGATGATGATTCTGGTTCCGTATGTTTGTAAATCCGCAACTTGTTCTTTCCGGATACAAAAATTTCCACGTCCACACGTGTCCAGATACTCCTGAATCCGCAATGCTGTTTTTTTTTTTTGCTCGGACCGTCTTGAATATTCACGGTAAAGAACTGGGCTCGATATTGTGACATCAGCGGATAAAAAAATATCCGGATTTAGCGTCTACTCGTTTCCGTAGCGGATAAAAAACTTCCACTCTGGAGAGCGGATTAAAAGAGTTCCGGACGCCGCGGATTCACCGGTTACGTGTGGACGGTAGGCGTATCCGGAAAGAAAAAGTTGCGGCTTCAAAAATATGCGGTTATGTGTGGACGGGGCATCTGTTGTACAGCTATTGTAAACGGAAAACGCTAGCAAAACTGAATCTTACTATATTCAATTTGCGCCTCTCATCTAGCCATTGTGCACACTGCTCATGTATTATTTTGTACTATTGATACTTTTGTTTTTGAGGAAAACGAACCCGTCAAACACGCAATTCAAGACAGTAGGTTATTTTATTCGTCATTGAGATATGCCATTTCTGGTAGAAAACCCATTACATGTCTTGAGCGCTTCACCAGCTCGTAGTGTTCAGTTTGTACAGTAAAGACGTTGGAGAATACAATACTATTCATAACTAATACAAACGAATTTTATTGAACTAGTCCCCTCCCCTTCACCAAGAGAGATTGCCTTCACCCACTTCAATAGAGCATTTTCACATGGCGTCCCGGCATCCATTTTGGTGTTCCAAAACAATGAAACGGCGGCCATGTTGGCGTTTCAAAACAGTCCTGTAATAGTTGACTTCAGAGATATGCAATTAAAAGACGCTTTCTTTTGTTCCTATAAATTTGCATAGATGCTGGCAACGTGAATGAAAGCGGTCTATGGTTCTACCAAAATCTACAGGCGACACCAGAAAAGTTCCCTAGGGGAAGTAATTAAGCTTTTTCTTGATTATTATGTTTTGCTCCGCAATACGTGTTTATACAGATCGGTTCGCAGACATGGGCATCATTGTCGTTCGTCCCCCCTGGGTGAGGTGCGAATTCTTCGCAGAACTGCCACTCCTGCTCGTTTTGTAGTCAAAAACAAAGGTGCTGGGCAGTTCTATCTGAGCTATGATACGAGGTAGCGTCCAAGCTCAAAACCTTTTTCCAGAGTTGGAAGCAACGAACAGAAGTAAAAGTCGTTGAAAATATGCATTGCAATACATCAAAATGTGTGCAGCAGGAATTTCAGCCAAACTGCCAAGGGATATTTTAAAAATGTCGAGGAACAAGTCATTCTACTTCAGAGCAAGGTTTGTAGTAATTTATAGTGCTTTTAAAACTAAAAAGTACTTTTTAAAGAATAGCACGATAGGCAATCGGCTTTTGTTTTAAGAATTAACAAACATTGAATTTACTTGTCCCGAAAATTCAAACTGGTGTCTCCCTCTACCTGATAGTAATTTATTTTTGAAATTCCAAAACAATTTCACAGCTGAATTTTGAGCGACTTTTAGTTACGGACTTCTGCTCCAACTATTTTTCTGAAATTCCTCTGGCATATTTATTACACCAATTAAAGCCGTTACCAGAAATTTCAGTAAAAAAATATGAGCAAATTTTTTTATTAGACGCGATTTTCTTTGAACAGTAGGGTCATTTAAGTGCTATTAAATTTAGCAAAATATATTTACCATCAATGAAATCTTAATATTTCGTACTATTGCGGAATGATATCTTTTGTTCTTTGCAAAGTTTCGCAGCCATCGCGTTAAAAACGGAAAAGTTATGACAAAAACTTCGTCACGGCTAAATGCGCCTGTATTAATGACGGAGCCACCTTAAAGTAGTAAATAAGAGAAGAAAGAAAACAGAAGAAAAAAATTGGTAGTATGTAGGACTTGAACCCGCATCATTTGATGTATAATCCACATCCGCATCCACTAGACCACCAAGGGCTAACTGTAGACACCGGTTAATTTTAACGTACTTTACATGGCATTGATCATTGCATTATTGAAAACTAACCGTTCTTAAAACAGTGCTTAACCCCGCCCATCACTGTACTTCGGTGCCAAACCCTGTATTCAGCTCTTTTCCTTGCACAACTGTCTCTTACTCTGATTTCCTCACTTTTCTCAAAAATAGGCCCAATAAATTTGCTTAAATATACTATGGCGTGGTATCGAGTATAGCGTTGTATAATAAAGATATTAAGGTCTCCAACCTGATTTTAAGGTATCCATTCTAGTCACAACCATTTTCTATTTTTATTGGACGAACTGTACACTAGAAATGCTAATGAAAAAATCCGCTGGAATATCTATTACCGTATATCCCTCCACCGGGCAGTCTTTGATTCGCTTCCTACCCCTACACCTGCTTTCTCCGCCTCTCTTACCACGAGGGTTAAGAATGAAAGATCGGTGAAGAGGAACTCTTAAAGACCGTTAGTTACAAAGAGGATCCCATCACCTAGGAGCTTGGGCCAAAGCTTGTGAGTCTTGAAGGCTATTCATAGATTCTTTTCATTTAGCCAATCAGAGCAGAGCTCGATTCCAGCAAATAAACAGTAGTATGGTCGATGCACCTGTGTGTCGAGCGAAAGTAGTTCGGAGACAGCAGAACTTAGCGAAGGAAGCGATTCAACAGTTACTATAGAATGAACAAATATATTGAATTTCTAAGGAGCTGTGACGCTTATTTAATTAGCAGCAGATGGGACTTTGAGGGGATAGGCTCCTAGTGCGAACGAGACCGGTGCAAGACATCATTTGCATTTCTCGAGAGACGCTAAACTTGAGAGTGTTCTTTTGGAGTACATTTTAGACATATACGCTGGTGATTCTCTTCATAAAATAGGAGTACTACAAACACGCCGTGTTTATATTGCCAGTAACATTATAACAGCGATTTCCTCTCAAGTAACATCGAGGATATTCCTTCCTATTCCGATTTTACAATGTCTAGAATGTGCTCCAACAAGAGAGAAATCTCTTGGGTCCAAGTATGGGTCTTCGTTTGAATCTAGGGGAGGTGTCCGTGGGGCCCAACCCTCACCCCGATCCGCCCCTCCCTCGTCCTTTACCTCAAAATATGGATCCGTCAATGGACAGGTCCTTGCCTTGTCTTAATTCGAGAAAAATATTGATTCTTTAAAGAAAAGTGTGATAATCATATCTTAAAGAATTCCTACCGATGGAAGAAACATTCACATATTAACAAATGCCTCTAGGCCTGAACAAAAATAAACTTCCGTAATAACTTTTAAACGCAAATTTTCCCTTTTATCCAATTCACTGAACACTTGTTCCCATCCATTCCCATATTTCCTGATATTATTATATCTTCTCGTATCCAATTGATCGGTACAAGCAAATGGCAAAAACCACGCCCAGAACCTGCAAAGATCGAAGAAGAATAGTTATCGATATGGAACTATTCCCAAAAATTACAGAATTATTTTTTGCGTTTAAGGGTGATGCTTCTTTCAAGTAATTAAATTATTTCTGACCTGTAAAATGGCGATCCCGACTCCTATTCCTCCAATCACTGCCATTTTTCCTCTAACAAACTTTTGGAGTGCATCAGAGCAGCCCTGGAAGATATCAATATCAATACAGTAAGTGCTAGCTGAGTTTAAAATTTTAACATTTAAAGTTACCGGGAAGTTGAGAACTGTGATGAAGGCAGTCAAAAAGAGTAGAAAGCTATTTGCAGCTGGGGACAAAAATGGTTTAGATTTGCTCATTTGGCGGGTCGGTGTTGATGATGATGATGGTGAAGATTACTGGATTTTCATCGACCTCAGGCCTTTTTATAAAGTCTATGATGACAATGATAATGATAATGACGATAAAAATTATGTTAAACAAATGATAACTTTCATGTTATATCACTAAATAGAAGAACGCGCCAACGTCAGCTCTATTCAATTACCTATCCCGGGCCCCTTTATTTTACTCATTGACTACATGCCGTCATGGAAAAACTGTCCGTAGCAACCACAAAACGGTGCGGCTTGGAGAATAATAATTAAAAAGACACAGAAACCATTCCCTAAGCTCTGAAAAACGTGCAGAACGTTTCCACTTAATTTACGCCACGTAATCAGTATGCGGGTGACTGTAGCAAGCTTAACGTGTGGTTAATTCTGTGTCCAGGAAACCACTTGAGACGGCTCTTCCAGAGCACGATGATCCCACAAAACTAGCAAACGAATTTGGCACCTTCCTCTTAGAAAAAATTGAAATCATTAAGGAAAATCTTGACAAGTTTCAAGTTCAGGAGCCTCGACTTGCTCCTGTTTTTCCAAAGGAAAATCTGGTGAATTTTTCTGCGCTATCCATAGGAGAAGTGTGTAAGATTGTTCGAGAATCCTCCAATGCCTCTTGTCGGTTGGATCCTGTTCCTACATGGCTAGTGAAGTCCTGTCTTGATGTATTAGCGCCCTCTATCACTGAGATGGTTAATCTCTCTTTTCTCAGTGGTTGCGCATGCGTTCCAGAAAATTGAAGAACCGCTGTTGTCATCCCTCTATTGAAAAAACCTGGACTTGATTTAGTCTACAAAAATTTCCGTCCAGTCAGTAATCTTCCATTCATTTCCAAGGTAGTGGAAAAGGCTGCACTTCAAAAACCTCTCGTCCACTGTGAGAAAAATGTCCCTCTTTTTAAATCCCAGTCCGGCTTCCGTAAGTATCACTCGACAGAGACTGCTCTATTAAAGGTTCAAAACGACATCTTAATGAGTATGGATAATAAGGAAGTGACACTTCTCGTACTTTTGGACCTAAGTGCGGCTTCCGATACCATTGAACATTCCATTCTTCTGAATATTTTGCATCAGGATTTTGGAGTCGTCGGAACTGCTTTAAATTGGTTTGACTCATTTCTGTCTGGTCGCAAACAACGTATACTTGTCGGTGGTAAGACTTCTGACGACTTCAACCTAAACTGTGGAGTCGCTCAGGGCAGTTGTATGGGGTCTATTTTATTTACTCTCTACGTCTCCCGCCTCTTTAACATTATTTCTCACCACCTCCCTTTCGTCCATGGTTATACTAACGACACCCAGATTTACCTCTCCTTCCGACCTTGTTCTATCCATTCAGAAATTAATGCTGTCTCTGTGATTGAAAAGTGCATCGCTGATGTTCGCTCTTGGTTTATTGGAAATCCTTTAATGATCAATGACGCGAAAACTGACTTGCTAATTATTAGCACCCGTCAACAACTTGAAAAAACATCTATTGAATCTATTATCATTGGTGACACCGTCATTAAACCTTTAGAAAGCGTCCGGAACCTCGGGTCCTCGTTCGATGCTCATATGCGAATGAATGTTCACATAGGCAGGATTTGTAGCAAGGCTTTTCGCGGACTATACAACATAAGACAGATCAGAAAATTCCTTACCGTGCAATCCACAAAGACACTGATCCATGCCTTTGTATCTTCGCACCTTGATTACTGTAACGCACTTCTGTTTGGTCTACCTAAATATCAGCCTGATCGTTTACAGAAAGTTCAGAATGCCGCGGCTAGAGTGACTTTTCAGATTGGGAAATTTGATCATATCACACCCGCCCTTATCGACTTACACTGGCTTCCAGTAACGTTTAGAGTTCAGTTCAAATTGCTCCTTTTTGTTTACAAGTCACTACACAACCAAAGTCCATCCTCCATTAAAGATCTTTTATCCCTGAAACCAGCTGCTAATTATGCTCTTCTTTGGTCTGGTCAATCTCTTCCGTTCGTTCCAAAAGTCAACTGCTCTACACTTGGGGATCGGGCCTTTGCTCATGCTGCACCTGTTTTATGGAACTCGCTGCCATTAACTATAAGAACAAGTAGCAGCCTCGCCATTTTCAAAAAGCAACTTAAAACATTTCTTTTTAAGAAAGCTTTTAATTTGTTGAAATAGTTCTAATGTTTAGTTTTAATTTAGTTTGGAATTTTCGAATTTCATGTTTTTTTAGATTATACCATAGCATGACATATTATTATTATTATTATAGCTTTCACGGATTTTAAAATTTTTTTGTTTATTAATTTTTCATTAATTTTAACTTAATGTAAAGCGCTTTCGAATATTCTTCTATAGTTTTTGCACTATACAAATTCATTATCATTATCATTATCATTATACGATCAAGAACGGTAACCACAAATCAAACTATTAAGTAATCAACGACTCAGAATTCACGTGACTTTAGCATTTTACTTCTTTGACACTCACTTGTTTGTAGATATCTGGATTGTCGCCCACGCTGCACTTGTCGCCCTTTGTCTTACAGCACGACTCAGGATATTTTTCCTTTGCCGTTTTTCCAGTGCTCTTGTACCATGCGGACTTTGACCAATCGGACGGGCCTGCTACACCACAGCACTTCAACTACGAATAGAAAGATGTGTGAAAAACCTATTTTCTACTCTAAGAGTTTGAAAATGAGACTTATTTCGTGTGCAGATGATTGAGCCATGTATTGCTATTCAGAAGGCAAGAGAATTTAGGGTATATTTTTGTCTTTGCTCGCCCCTGATAGAGAGTTTTGTTAAGCTGCCTAAGACAACGTAGTTTGAGGAACTTCGTCTAAGGCTACAGACAATTTATTTTATTTTATTTTTATTTTATTAACTTCGCCAAACAATAAGATAAGTGACACTACAATGAAAAAAAAAAGTGTACATATATTCACAGGAATACAGTCGGGGACACCGCAACAGCAAGCGCCAATTACTGAGGGCTCAAGACACAGATCATTTTTTTTCTTTCAGACACAGATTTTTCATAGTTTCTCAGCGGTGCGCTTTACCAAAGCCTTATCTTTTTTTTTTCAGTGTGTTACTCGTAATACAGAGGGTGACTTGTGAAGACTCATGGTGGCGTAGCCTGCAGACAAGGCGTTTATCTTACGCGTCAACCCAGTGGCGGATCGAGACCTTCAGATAAGGGAGGGGGGGGGGGGGGGGAGGGGGGGGAAACCCGCCCCCGGGAAGGGGGGGGGGGGGTGTTTAAAAAATTTTTTTTTTTTTCCTCGCCGCACCGGTGGGGGATAAAAAAAAGGGAGGACGCCGGGCCCCCGGCCCCCTAGTTAAGACTCATTGGTTATGCGAAAAGAAGAGGCGATAAGGAGTGAGAGGAAGGTGGCTGAAAAAGTAACAGGAAAAAAGAAGAATAAGAGTCGATTTCTAGGCATAAAAACGGGGGAGGGATTGGAAGGAAGGGTTGGGGGGGGGGGGGGAGGGGGGAGAGGCGGTAATCCAGACCCTGAGATAAGGCGAAGGCGGTTTTTAAAAAAATTTTCTTCTGTTCCTCTCGGCCTCAGTGTGGTCTAAAAATAAGGGGGGAGGCCGGATCCCCTGGCCCCTTCCCTGGATCCGTCACTGGGACCTCTCCCTTGAATCATTTTCTGACTCGCCCTAACTCTCGGTCAGTTTGAATGTCCAAATGGTGGCTAATGATGGCTTTGTTAAAAGACTTTGGTTCTCAACAGGCTAGGGTATTAGCAAAATGCAGGATGTTTGTTACATGAACCTAGTTTTGTTGCCTTAGCTACCACGAGTATCCTGTGGCTCAGTGGTAGAGCCGTGGACTAGTAACCTGTTGGGAGTACTCAGATTTTTCTCATTTTCCGAGCTGCATGTATCACTGACTGAGATTCATCAGTCTTTCTCAGCTAGGTTAGAATAGTTTTTCGTCTTTTCTCTGCAGTTGTCTTTATCAACTCTCTCTCTCTCACCTCTTGTTGCGCCTTGTCCACAGCCTCTGTAAATTTCTTTTTGTCCGCCTTTCCGTAGTATTCAGTAATGGTCTTGTTCACAGCGTGTTCTATCTTATCTATTACCTGAAATATATGGGTGGAATGGTGATGTAATAAGCGCATTATAGTTAAGTTCTTACTCTTCATTCAGATCTCTAAAGAAGTATCATTGCATTGTTTTACGTCATCCTAACCATTTCGTACTTGCGGGCGCAAACAATCGAAACGACATCATTACCAACCGATTCCTCGCGGCCCCTGTTCAAGTAAATGGAGATTTTTTCTGGCATACCGACTGTATATTTCAGCTGTAAGTACTTTCCTTAATATACGCGCGAGTTACTATAGTTCCTCCTCGGGATTTCGCCTTCTGGGCGAAATTCCTGCGGGGGCAATTAAGGCGGTTACAGAATCTGTCCATTCCCGCTGCTGAAAGACTAGGAATAAGCTCGACCGGACAGACTTTTTAAATGAATTTTGATGCCTTAATAGAACTCCAATTGAGAATTTTGATGAGAAATTGTGCTAGTAAAGCCCTTTTATTGGATTTAGAGTACGGGATTGCATGAGTGCCTAAACTTTTTTCAAAAACCGTTTATGCGGTAACACGGATTCGCTATCAGACCTCCTAGATGAAGCCTTCTTGATAACTACAAAGGCAAGGGAGGGTAAAAGTGATCAGTTGTATGAGGTAGGATAACGCCTTGGTATATCTCCAAACTGAGATCGTGGCCTTTTAAAAGGTTTTTCATGCACAAAAGTAACATACAGCAGCGGCTTCGTTTTTTCAAACGTTGGATAGCGCTTTTACTCCTGGTAAATTTCTATCAAGTGGCTGGGATAAGTATTAGTGAAACCAATTGCGCTATTCATTGGAAACAGTTTTATCCAGTGGATCAGTGACACGGATCATTAAACTTTTCTGGGAAACTGTCTACCTACCCCTCCCCTAAGCCAAAATTTTTCCCTTAATGAGAAGTAAGTGTTAACGTTGGCTTAGGGGATGGGTAGGTGATCCGTGTTATCCACCTTTGAAACAACTGGGGCCTAGTATAAGTAGTGCTTTACCTTGTCCCTCTGAGCATAAGCCATGATGCCTGAAGCGATCTCCAAAATGAAAATCATCAGTACCAGGAAGGAATACTAAATTTTTATGAGAAAAAGGGAACGCAATATGTTAGCATTAGACGTGACTCCGAAAGATCTTAGTTACCAAATGGGGTGATTCTACATCACAAACGAGAAGGTCAGAGATCTCTATCTTCCAATTTTTGCTAGTGACAAGACTCATTATTTGTCCCATCAAGGCTCAGCTTGATGGGACATGCCGAGAGACTGTCTCCGTCTAGACCTGCTAGTGGACTCCCCAAGAGCGCCTAAGAGAACGACGATCCAGGATGAATTGGTGCCTAAAAGTGGAGAGAGACCTGCACCCTATCGACCAACAATGGAACGACATCATCCACCCTGCTAGCGCAGCCTCTTTCAATAGCGCGATTTTGGCGTACTCGAGAAAGACTGTGCATGAATCAGTCGAGTAAGATCTTTGTTGAACATGTGCTGCTTGTTGCTAGGATACAGTTTGGAATCCAGGCCTAATAGCCGTACGCTTGGTACAGCGGGCTCAGTTATGACCATCGATTTATCAACGAACGGATGCTCGCACATGGGCTGACGGGCCTTAACGATTTCTAAGGCTTGACGGGATACGGACAGAGCCTCCTTTTCTCCTCCTCCTCTTATAATAATAATAATAATAATAATAATAATAATAATAACAATAATAATAATAATAATAACAATAACAATAATAATAATAATAATAATGATAATAGAATATTTACCCAGGATAACCCTTCAGTACCAATTAAGTACCGCATGTTATCAACTGGGTCCTGCTGATCGAAGACAGAAGGAGGCCATGTTGGCAGGGTGGACGCCATCAAACTCTTCAGCACATAGACTGCCTCAAGCTGGCGTCTCTATTCGTGAAAACTCCTAAGGTAAGCCAACTGATACTTTGTAACTGTGCGCGTTGTTAGTCAGTAACCGCGATTCCTTATCACTGTATTAAGCCTAGTTTTACTATATCGCAACTTACCAGGAGAAGCAACCATTTCTTTTCCTTCACCACTCCACAGCACCCTATAGCACCAATGATCATCACCTGTGCCCCCGCGGCTATGAGGATGTTAGCTGCTGTCTTGAATCCTCCTTCATCCATAAGAGCAGAGTAATTACTGGCGCTTACTCTTGCGAAGATTCCCACGGCCATCACTGCAATACCAGCGGCCTGTAGACGAAAGTGAACCGATCAACATGTATCGTCATGTATCGTACACTTCGTGTGAAAAGTGAACGCGGGCTTGCTTTAGTATCGCTTTATTTTTGTCGGTGTCTAAAATGAGAGGTGAACTGAACAATGCTTATTTTTTCCAGGGAGTCTTGTTTCGGCTAGCTCTTCGAAAACGCCTACTAATAAATCGTTGTGAGTGAAGACCAAATTTTTGTATTTCATCCGGCACCCATGCCACCGACTAAACGCACATTTTTTCTTTTCAAAACCCCTTCATAGACAATGTTAATTGGTCTAACTAAAAGTCGGTGTTTTTTTTGTAACAAAACCGCATCGTGAAGGCCTGACAAATCTTATATTTTCAGGTAGTTTGCGAATTAACAAACCGTTTACAGTTCTCTTTTCAGATCTAGAATCCCCCTGCAAACGTTAAGCTTACCATTGCTCGTTGTGCATGACTGAGTGAAAATAAAGTGCATTTGACTTCCAAGAAGCAAAACTTTTAGAGGACAAAAACTTTATTCGCACTGCATTACACATTTATAGCAATTTCCATTGCAATTCTTGCGAAAACGACAAAATTTACAATAATAATTCTTTTTCTTTTAATTCAGTCCTCTGGACTGTATTTCAGTGATTTGTCAATTCATTTTTGTTCAGTAGGCTCCTGTTTTTATTCACTACTAAATGTTTTTTGTTGCGTTCGCTTTGACAAGAAACATTCTTACAGAACCTATTTATTGAATAGTGAAAATTATGTCGTTGAGCTATGAAAATACATTAGATTGTCTTAGAGGTGATAACAGATTTTTTATCAGTGATTATAGTTTTAGCTCAAAATGTGTGTAATGAATACTTTCTGGATAAATCAGAGATGTATAATAATAATCCATGGCCCTTAATCCGACAAACTAAGTTTAATAAAATTCAGTATTCCTCCTTGAAAACAGGAAACAAAGATAGAATACGTATTATACTCTTGTTATCTTTCGGTGTCGCTGATTAAATAAATATGAGCGAAACGATATGGCGCCGAAAAACCTCTTTAACACTAAACTGAGCGTAACTTAATAAATATTTTTATGTATTTTGCTGCTCATAAGTTCTGCAATAACGAAACAATAATATAAATTAAAGAAAATTAATGGGTGTGATATTTTTTAACCAAAAACCCTCTCAATTCAGAAGGGTAAAGAATATACATTAACGAGGTCCTCGCAGCTTAAATTACTGAATCTCTCACGTAGGGAAATTAGTACGAAGGTAGTTCTGTGAAGAAACCATTGCTCTAGTCGGTTTGAGATCAATGAAAACAAAAGATTTGCTCTGGCTTAATTGCAGTTGGCATTTTTGTTGATTTATGATGCTGCCCTGGTTACTGAGTACCGATAATTAAATAAGCCATATACAGGGCAAGGAGCTTATTAACTAACAATGAACATGTTGCTTATATGAACACTCTTCTTGTCGATCTATTTTATAGATGTCATGTATTTATATCCTCCACCTGACCATTAAGATTTAAGAATGACAATCTTTTGCGGACCTTATTCGGTAAATTAACGTCTAAATTTCATTAATATTTTTTCTGGATTTTGCNTGAACATGTTGCTTATATGAACACTCTTCTTGTCGATCTATTTTATAGATGTCATGTATTTATATCCTCCACCTGACCATTAAGATTTAAGAATGACAATCTTTTGCGGACCTTATTCGGTAAATTAACGTCTAAATTTCATTAATATTTTTTCTGGATTTTGCTCCATATATATCGCTGAAACCCAATTTTCCCTTTGCGAAGCGGATGTATGTTACCATCAAAAACTGTCAAACGGGAACTGAATCGCTCAGTTTTGCGGGGAAGTAGTATCTACAAAAGGTTTTATGATGAGGCTAAGAAATCGCAAGTCAAAATGAAGATGTTTCTTCTTTTTTTTATTTGACCGGAAATAAAAAAATTCAGCTTTTTGGGGGGAAAAGCAACGTCAACAAATATGGCGGATTCAGGATAATCGCGTTTGGCAACTGAACATAAATCAAAATTATTTTACGCGAAGAAGTTATCTTGAATAAAGATGAAAATTTTCAAGGGCGATATAAGCTGATGAATTACAAGGAAAGTGAATATAATATGTTCTTTAAGCCGAAAATTGCTTCATAAATTTCCTCCGAAGGAATCACTCAGGTAAATCAAGAGAAAAAACTAACTACAGCTTCTTTTCGAAGGTATAAAGTAGGTGACAAGAAAGTTAAAACAAGGTTTAGCTATTGTAACAACTTATTCATCTATCTTGTTATATTAAAAATAGGGGGAGAAAGCAGTAAAATGCGAAATAAAATGTAACTTATATAATTTACTCAGTTTTACCAGTAACAAGTGAAGAGTATAATGTTGCCTTAATATCCCGAAAAAGGCCTGTCAAATTTTCAAATTTTTTTTGGTAGATTGTTGGCGAATTGGTGATTTATTAAAAGCGGCTGTAAAAATATTATCTGGGTCAGAAAAGCAAAAATTTGTTTTTCTAGTAATAAATTTGAGTTATAGAAGTGACACAGAGCTTAAACATTAATGAGCGGTCAAAGCCACACACAGCGATCAAAAAGCTGAATCCATGATGTTTTTGTTCTCCTAAGAAAATGAAGACAAAACGGTGTTACGTACATGAAAAGTTAGCTGCGAAAATCAATCCCCTAAAACTGGATTAAACTCCGCACTTACCCAAAATACGAGGTTAAAAACGCACAACATAAACTTCAGGCACCTCATTCCACAATCTAGCCCCATTTTGTGAAAGTTTTTTTGGAACCTTAAACAAAATAAGATCAAATATTAAAGATAGTGAGCGATCGGTGTTTCCTAATCGAACCACATATGGTAAATAACTCGCGATATTTTACCTCTCGATNGCGAATTGGTGATTTATTAAAAGCGGCTGTAAAAATATTATCTGGGTCAGAAAAGCAAAAATTTGTTTTTCTAGTAATAAATTTGAGTTATAGAAGTGACACAGAGCTTAAACATTAATGAGCGGTCAAAGCCACACACAGCGATCAAAAAGCTGAATCCATGATGTTTTTGTTCTCCTAAGAAAATGAAGACAAAACGGTGTTACGTACATGAAAAGTTAGCTGCGAAAATCAATCCCCTAAAACTGGATTAAACTCCGCACTTACCCAAAATACGAGGTTAAAAACGCACAACATAAACTTCAGGCACCTCATTCCACAATCTAGCCCCATTTTGTGAAAGTTTTTTTGGAACCTTAAACAAAATAAGATCAAATATTAAAGATAGTGAGCGATCGGTGTTTCCTAATCGAACCACATATGGTAAATAACTCGCGATATTTTACCTCTCGATTGGTTTAAATACCGCGAACACAACCTGGGCTTTCGTTTACTAACCAACAGCCAACTCCCAGTTCGAGTCAAAGATTCTGTTGAGTGTATGTTTTCTTTTTCGAATCGAAATTGCATAAATTTTCTTCACCAATACTGAAGTGGAAATTAACATACAACTTGATTGACAGTCGCTTGATTTCAAAATGAGTGCGCTTGTCCTCCAATCACATTTCACCGTCGGAAACTAATATAGATATTATGTCCGCTTTTGGTGTTTTCACTATGACAGATGGCGGGATATTGTCGCTAAAAACAGGTGCACTCAGGGAAGATCTCGCTGCGGAAATTCAAAACACTGCAGCTAGGAAGCTAGCCGTGTCTTTGTCTTCCTTGGAAAAAATCTTCATATCAAAAACAGAAAAGCACAGTCGATCTCGGAAAAAGCCGCTATTTCTCTTTACATCAAGACTCAAATAATGTAGCCATGTTTTTTAACCGTTCAAGGCCAACCAATGAGAGTTTGTTTCTTCCGAATTAAATCGCATCGCTTATGCCTTTTTACCCGGTTAATCCACCATTTTTAGATTAAGAAAACGTAAATTCATCAGCCGGCAGGGTTAAGTGAATGTTGCGGCTTGATAAGCGAACAGAATTTGATCAGAAATCTCCAGGTGTTGTTTCAATATTGTTTTTTTATAAGCTGATATTGTGAAGGTCAAAAGTGCTGAGTGGAAAAGGAACAGACTAGACGATATCTTAGAAATAAGCAAATGTTTCAATTAATTCTAAGTTTCATTAAATAATTGAACGCGCAGTCAAAGGCTATTACCCTCAATTCTCTGAGAGATAGATCAAAACGATCTGACGAAACATTTTGGCCTTGCTTCGTTTTCTCGCTTAATTATTTACAATCCCATGCCAATTCTTCGCATGTCAAAAGTTCCTTACTTCCTTCCTAGTTGATAGTTTTTTATTCCGTTGCCGTAGATTGATTTTAGGATTTGTGTCGCCTAATTGAGACAATAAAACTACAGGTCGGAGTAATTTTAGGTAAACTATCGCAGCGCCGAGAGAGACGCCTTTTCCGTGTTAGAGCCCCGAGGACTAGATTTGCAACTTTTGATTTTGAGATTGAAGAGTGAGGAAAGCTTTAAGTTAACGATAGAAAATGAAATGGTTATAGCGGAGGCTGGAACTCCCGTGTACTATCGCCGCTCCTTGGAATTCGATTTCCAAAAAAATTCTCATTCCCGGGCTGGAAAAGATAACCAAGACTTTAGAATAACGTGCCAAGCTGGGAGACTGTTATCAAAACTTTGGTCTCGCAAAAATATTTTTTCTTCCATTAACATGTAGCCTTCGTTCTGAAAACCAGCTCGATGATTTAAAAATGTTGATTATTTACAGTATTTAGCCGGTGCTGAATAACTCCTTTCCTCACGAAAAAAAAAAGGAACCTACGTACATTGATCCCTACTTTATAACACCGACACTGTGATGTGTTCTTCTAGCGAGAGCTCAAGGTTTTTGTCTAGGAAAACTACTGAAGAATCCCCTCGGAACATAAAATCTAGGTGGCTGTTCAAGGGATAATTTTTTAGAGATAATTTTGCCCGAAAACTAACGACTAAATAACGACAGGGATCAACTCCAAGTGTCAGTTAAAGAAAATGGGTGTAGAGCGGGGAGCAATGAACTCTAGGTGTCCGTTTTTGGAGACATATAGAAAATGACTGTGGAACAACAAGAACCAACGCTTGGTTCTCCGCTTTCTTAGGAAGGTGTCCGTCTTAAAGAGATTCTGTAGAGCGGCGGTTAGGTGTCCGTGTCGCATGGATTCCAAGAAAACGACTGAGAAAGAACAAGGACCAATGTTTGGTGCCCCGCCTTCTTATGAAGGTGTCCGTCTTAAAGAGACTCACAGAAAGCGATTGAAGATCGACGGGGAGGTGTCCGTGTCGCAGGGATTCTAAGAAAATGACTTAGTAATAACAAGGAAGCAATTCCAGGTGTCTGTTCCAGAGAGGTGTCTGTTTTACAGCGATGCCTGATAACGAAGAAAATGATTGGCCCCTCCTAAAATGTTCTACAATAGAGAGACGTGTGACGTCACGTTACCATGGCAGCTAAATTTCCGGCCCCAGTTGTTCAAACGTTGGATAGCGCTATCTACCGGATAAATCACTACCCAGCCGATAGCGTAATTGGTTTCCCTAATACTTATCCGCTGGATAGTGATTTATCCGGTGAAAAGCGCTATCCAACGTTTGAACATCTGGGGCCTGGCCGGTTACTCAAACGTTGGACAGCGCTATCTACCGGATAAATCACTATCCAGCGCATAAGTATTACGGAAATCAATTACGCTTTCTGCTGGATAGAGACTTACGCGGTGGATAGAGCTATTGACTGTTTGAACAACTGGGGCTTGGATCTCAACAATTTTTCTTAACGGAGACAGCCATTTCTATTTTTGAACGATGGAAGAAAAGTATGGGCTACCGTTTTGTTTCTGAGTGCAACCATGCACAGAAAAGTCAGTTGTCAATTTTTTCGTTTTCACTGCCATGTTTGCAGGATCACAGTTTGTTGAGATCCAGTAATTTTGCTACCATGGTTACAAGACGTAACTACTCAGGCTCTTCTCTATTGGTATAAGAGATTATTGTGGAATAAATAAATGAGTAAGACTGAGTTAGACTGTTTGTTCCATCGTGGTTTGTAGTGATTGATGAATCACGAACCTCTCGCTCATGGTGCCGGTGGGTCTCAATCGAAAGCCGGCATCAGCTGTTGGTATTATTATAGGCTCAGCGGCTGCTGTCTTGTGCTGTGCATGAACGGATCGAAAGAGCGCGATAGGGATAAAAGAAGTCAAACCACAGCTGTTTCTGAACACGCTAATAGGGTATAGCCTGCGAGCAATCTCTCCACTTGGGGGAGCTGCGAGAAGTCACGCGAGAGCGGCATGCGCGCTTTGTTGCACGCTCGCGCGTTCTCTCGCGCCCTGCTTCTGGCCTCGCCATAATTGGAGAGCTTTGCTGGCAGGCTAGATTAGCTAACTCCCTTATTGACGGAGACCCAGTCACTGGCACTCTCCTAGAATTAAGGGGCTATTGACATAAGACTTCACCCCAACAACATCAACAGAGACAGTGGAATTGAGATTCCTGAAGCGGGGATGCCTACAATCAGACATTTCATTCCAATCAACTGATGAACTGTTTCGACCATTCAATTCAAGACGTAAGTTACGGCTCTTGACCGTTACTTGAAAACTGATAATTAGGGAACACAGTGAGCACTAACTCTCACTAGGGTTGTGGTGCGCACTTGCCTGAATATACGCCTGCACTGAACGCGGCTAGCAGAAAGCGTGGACAAATAACATTCAGAGGAAATTATAATCGCAACAGTAAAAGCTAAGACTCGGGCAAAATCACCTAACCAAAGCATAATGTCGTATTTACTCGAATAAGCGCCACCAATTAGGCAAAAACACCGCTTTCAGACAAAAGTTGCTCCTAAATAAGCACCACGGTCCCGGAGCCGGTCCAGGTTTAATACGGAAAATAATAATACCCTAATTGACGCCACAAGTTCACAATTTTAAGTAAAGTCAGAAAAAGAGAAAAAAAAGAAAGAAAAAGGAAAAACACCAGAGAATGAGCGAGCGATTTCGCCTTTGTTTTCTATTTGACAGTCCGATCCGGAGTCTATGTATCATTCAGTCTATTTTGTCAAAACAACCCCGCATAAAGTTTATCTCCATCTATTTCTGTGCTCTTTTGGTAGATTTGAGCAACAAAGTCGCGGAAAAGATAGCAAGTCTATTTTACTTTTTTTGGCAGCAAATACATGCACCCACCAGGGCCCTTTTTTTCAGCGAAGAGCTATGAGGCCGCGCACTGTGGTCGATTTGGGGCACTGGGAACTAAGCTTAATTCAAAGATGGCGCGCGGAAGGCATGGTTGGTTTTTCTCTCGTTTTTCATCTATTTTGCAAGGTTAGTAGCGATTATAGGTGGATCAAACAGTAAGAGCTGTAGAAGGTATCGTTTTAAGAAGTTTTAGAAGTGCTTGTGGTAATGGTTTGCCTTACATTCCGTGAGATCTTGACTCTCACCCTATAAGCTCGTCAATGCATAAGTCCTTATTGGTAACGCTTTCAATAATTCAAGTCTCAACGCTTTGATTTCAAGGGCAAATCGGTGCGTATCTAATGGTGTTTGAAGGCTTTATTTGTAAATTGGCCGTTACATAATTCTGATTAAAAACGTTAAATTTGTAGCAAATTCTTTATTTTTATGCTTAGTAGCCAGGCCTTTGACCGGGGGGTGAAATGTTGAGATTTTGGGGGATGAGGTCTCGATGAAAAGAACCTCATGCAACCATTACAGTGACAACAACAAGAATTTTACTCGTGATATCAATTTGCGTTCTT